CCTTCCAGTGCTCCATCGAGGACCCCACCAAGCAGACCAAGTTCAAGGGCATGAAGAGCTATATCGCCTACAAATTGGTGCCCAGCCACACGGGGCAGCAGGTGCACCGCCGCTACAAGCACTTTGACTGGCTCTACGGGCGCCTGGCCGAGAAGTTCCCTGTCATCTCTGTGCCCCACTTGCCAGAGAAGCAGGCCACCGGCCGCTTTGAGGAGGACTTCATATCCAAACGTCGCAAAGGCCTGGCCTGGTGGATGGACCACATGTGCAGCCACCCTGTGCTGGCTCAGTGCGATGCCTTCCAGCACTTCCTCACCTGTCCCAGCACGGATGAGAAGGCCTGGAAACAAGGCAAGCGCAAGGCTGAGAAGGATGAGATGGTGGGTGCCAACTTTTTCCTGACCATCAGTGTCCCCACAGGCCCTGGGGCCATCCTGGACTTGCAGGAGGTAGAAAGCCAGGTGGATGGCTTCAAAGCCTTCACAAAGAAGATGGATGAGAGCGCCCTGCAGCTTAATCACACAGCCAACGAGTTTGCCCGCAAACAAGTCACTGGTTTCAAGAAGGAATACCAGAAGGTGGGGCACTCCTTTAAGTGCCTCAGTCAGGCCTTTGAGCTGGACCAGCAGGCCTTTTCGGCTAGCCTCAACCAAGCTATAGCCTTCACTGCAGAAGCCTACGACGCCATCGGGGACCTCTTTGCCGATCAGCCCCGGCAGGACCTAGATCCTGTAATGGATTTGTTAGCGCTGTATCAGGGGCATTTGGCCAACTTCCCAGACATCATCCATGTCCAGAAAGGTAATACCCTTCTGTGTTTTCTGAAACGATGAAATTTTATGTATTAGTGGTATGCACACAGATGTAGGGACCAGGGGCTAAATCTGCCCTGCATCTGGCTTGCTGGCCTTGGGTTAAATCTTTCTGTGTTTGCTCAGGTAAACTGTTGCTAAAAATACAAAAAAACCACATCAGTGACAGTTCTTGTTCTGTGCCAAAGGCCTAGACATAGTTGGGAATTTTACTAGTTAGAGGTTGCTGCATTCAGCTGTGTATCTCTGAAATAAATCACATCTGCCTATACTCCTGATACATTAAAGTTTAATGGTCTCGTTGACAAACCTTGGAGATCAAGTGGTATGAAAGCATCTGTTGTTCTTTGATGTATGTTAGGTATCTTAAATCTCTGATCTAGTAGATAATAAATATGAAGTAATCTGAAGATGCAGGTACTCCTCCGATTGACCACCTTGTTTGAGGTGCATGTGGTGGTGTGCGCATTTTGCAGTGTCAGACAGTCAAATGAGATGTTTAAAGCTACTGAGGTTTCTCAGTTTGGCTGTGCGTTAAACTCTGGTGCCTTTGTAAGAATAATGGTCTGCCACGGTGTTTAGTTGGAGTTGCTCATCTTTTGCCTCATTATCATAAAAAGATGTTGCTCACCTGTTATCCATTCAGCATCTTTCTAGCTGAAACACCCTTCTGAGGTTCAGGTTGCTGCTTATAAGGTGCTTCTGTGATCCGTCAGAGAGAAAGAAACTCCGAAAATGAATCATCTCCTATGTAACAAGTGACACTTGTTCAGATAAATAGAAGTTTGTAGCACTATATCTGTGTAGATGATTTCCCTGCTGTGAAATGAATGATATTCATGTATTCCTCACCATTGTGAGAAGACTAGCCCATCATTTAATCTTTTTGCTGTTATATTCCTTACCACATATTTACATTTCTTACCAAATATTCCTTGTTCTCCACTTGAAGATCGGGGGATGGGGATTGGAGCTGTAAGAGAGACCAAGAAAACATCACATCTGCTCTGCAGAAATGAGTGTGTGTAACACTTGCCTGACAAAATGCATGAGCTTTATTGAAAGTTATTTTGGAGTTTAATAAATGGTGTTCTGCATCCCAAGAAGTAGAGGTTGAAGCGTCAATCACGGTGAATCAGTCTTTTGTGCCCTTAAGTGACGTTTCCACGGTTTTTGCATCTGGAACAGTACCTTGAGTTCAACAGTAAGGGAGCTGGAAGAGTTTTTTCAACAGATCAAAAAGACAGGCTTCCAGGAGGTATGAATTATTGCTGGGAAAATCTAAGGAAACAGAGTGGGTACAAAGCACACAATTTGTTGTTATTTAAGAAAGTAAGCTTTTCATAAAAATTGCATGCATCAAAGTCAGATTTCCATTCTCCTGTCAAATCTTGAAAATTGAGAGTGGAAACTTAAACAACCTTAATATTATTTTGAAGAGAAAAGGGAAGTGTGTCGTCTAACCTTTGAGGAGTTGTTCTGCTAGCTGCTGTGGCATTGTTTTCTGATAACAACTTTCAAGTATTTTAAATTTGGACAGAAAGGTGGCCTTGGCAATGCCTTGTGTTTCAGAGTGAGTTGTCAGCTACTAATAGGATTATCTGTAAGCTTCCAGAAAAAAAGGAAAAGATTTTTTTTTATTAGGTGGAAAAAACCAGCAGATTATATATACTATTTAAGTAATACACCCTCAAACTTTAAGGCTGTATAGAGTTCTCCACTGCAGTATTTTTGGAGACGAGACCTTGAAGAGAGGATTGGGAATAATAAGATACGTGCTTGGCTCAACCCTAGGGTTTTTTATAGTTCTGTTTGAATTTGTGCTTACTGGTTAGGTTTACCTTACTGAACAAGGGAAAGTTCATCTAAATGAGCTTCTAGAGCAGTGCGTGAGTATGACATATGTAGAGTTGATTTTGTGCTGGAGCATTGTCTTGGAGCTGGTTGGAGAAATGTACAGCTGGTCTGCATACAGGTGTTAATGCTGCAGCACCTCTGGGTTTACACTGCCTTCAACACATTATTATCCCTTGTACATCTTTGCCATCAGAAAATGGCATGGGCTTGAGAGGTTGGTCTCTTGAGTGTTCACATTCATGATAGGAACAGGGTTAGAAATGGATTGTGTTTGTTGTTGTCATTCCTGTTACAAAACAGGCAAACTGGAAGAAAACTGAGGGGAAAATGTTTTTTACACCCAGTATATTGCTGTTTTGTTACTCTTGAGGGTTACTTGTAAAAAGGTATAACTTTTCAATTCCAAATTATAAACTTAAGATGAAAATATGAACTGTTCTGTGTTCTTATGTTGTAAGAGCTTGCTTTTAAATTCAGTATCTGGGATAGCTGCCAGTTTTGAGAATTATTATTGTCTGTATAGACTAAACAAATATCTGTTGGCGATAATAGATCATCTGAAAAATAGAGTTGGCATGTCTTTCTTCAAGTGTTTTATTTTCTAGCATACAACTTCTTTGTGCAGTAAAATGACTCCAAAGTGCCCTTAGAAGTGGTAGAAACAGCAGCCTGATTGATGCATGGCTTACATGGCCATGCCTTTAAATGATGAACTCTGAAGTTAGGAGTACTTCTCCTTTGTTTTCTATGTAGACTCCATTTCTGTATTCCCCTAGACCCGAGGAGGACTGAAAAATAAAGGCAGCTGTGGCCAAAACATGCCCATATCTGTGCATAGAATATTCAACTGCAGTGTCTGGTTATGGGTTTGCTCTACTGCTGATAGCTGAACAGCTGCTGAATGTGATTTGAAAGTGTGTTTTGTGGTATGGACTGAGAAGTCTGCACCTTTGGGGATTTTTTTAATCATTTCTGCAACTTCTGCAGAAAGAAGGACTGAGAATCTGCAAGTCAGAGACAAAAATTTCCCTCTGTTTGGGCTTTGTCTTTTCTCCTAGAATTATGAACCAAAGCCATGTAAGCCCTGCTGTCACTTTATCTGCATATCAGCAGGAAAATGCCTAAACCGTTGTGCTTTTAATTGCTTTGGGGTTCAGGTCTTTTTGCCTCTTGTGTTGAGGATCTCATATGTGATCTAAAGTGTGCAGAAAGGGATTGTCATTTTGGTCACTTGCATAAAACATGTGAACCTATGGACTGTGGGGATATTTTCAAACTGTTTATTGTCTTACTAATATTGTAAGTATTTTCTGAAATGGCAATAGCTTTTGTAGGAGATTTTAAAAGATTCTTTTCCTTCTGCCTTCTCCATCTTGAGCGCCCAGTATTTACAGAGTTTTCTGTGAGGGAAGGAAGAGTTGAAGTTCCTGCCCCAGAAGAGACAGATGAAAGATTTGAACTTTTCTGTCCCATATGCCAGTTGAGGATCAACTTGTCAGTGCTTTGAGAGAGACCTTACCTAGTTTTGTGTGTTTTCTAGTCCAGTTCTGAAGATTAATTGGATTGAGCCCTACGGCAAAGAACACGCTAGATTTCAAACCCCATGTTTCCATCTGGAAATGCTTGGTTTGAGAGTCCCACTGAGGCTGGCACAGAGCATATTTGCCTCAAGGCATACAACCCTTACAAATGACTTGTTGGTTTATAGGTTTTATTTGAAAACTAAGCAATTAGGGGAAAACTGGCACCTGTAGGGGTAGATGATGGCAGAGTGGTGTCCTGAGCATCTGAGCAGCCAAATATTTGTATGTATCTAGCCTTCAACTCCCCATAAGTAAATGCTTCTAAAGTGCTTGCATGAAAGTATTCCTGTGCATACCTGTGTGTTTTGGAGTGGAAGATATACTTGAACACAGTTTTCTTTAGCCTCTGGCAAAACATTTGTAGAAGAGGAATATTAAGTTCAGTAGGCTCAAAAACTAAGCTGCACTTTTGTAATTTTCTTTTGCAGAACTGGTGTATTTTTCAAGAAATGCTAGATTCAGTTGCTTTAATTTTAAGAAGCAGCCTCTTGTCTTCATTTGTAATGGATAATGCCTTCTTTTCTCTGTTTTCACAGTTTACTTGTGGAAATTCCCTAGGCATTCTTGGCAAAATAATTCCTAAATATTAATTGCTAGAGCTTCACTCAACTGATGAGGTCTTCTGACTTCAATAATCTTCAGCATAAATGCTTACTGCAGGCCCATGCAGGTTCAGGTTCAGAAAATTTATGCACATGTAAGAATTTGAGATAGTGTGTGCTAGCTCTGTAGCTCAAGCTTGTCTGGCTGTCTTGTCTTCATATTTGCTGTGTGAGAGTAGAGGAGTTACAGGTTTTTGAGTTTCTGTCTTTCAAGTTTTGTTTGAGGAATTATAATGACCTTTTGTAATTCCTGAAAGTGGAAGAAATACTATCTTGCTGTTTCAGCTCTGCTTTCCAGGTTTCTCCTGTCTCTTGACATTATGATGTTAACACTAGACAAACTTTTGGTTATGATTTTTGCAAAACAGATTTGAGAAATTGGTCTAAATATCTTCTAATATTTAGGCAGCAATTCTGTTTCCTCTGCATGCCAAGATTTAAGAGAATTACTTTAAAAATTATCTGAATGACTTTTTTGCTCCTTGATCACTGTTAGTGACAATTAAAATAAGGCAAATTCTCTTATTTACCTGAAGCAAACAGAATTCTAGATATTGGCTTTAAAGAATCTGCTGGTGTTGTTTTAGAATATCTTACAATATTATAGGTGAAAAAACATTCCAGCTGGAAATGCATAAAAAAAACCCAAACAACACTGAAAGCTGGAACTCTCTAATGTTTTTAGCAATGGGTTTTTTCCGAGGGAAGGAGGGGTTCACGAATAAATCAGACTGATCAAAATTCACACCTAAAATTTCATATCACAGTGTAAAAGTAGTGCTTTTCCCTCTTGCTTACTTTCTAACCTCTTGAATTTGCAGACATAGTTTTTCCATCCTTGTTTTTCCTTTTATCCACTTTTTTTTTCCTCCTCTGTCCCTCAGATACATACATGTTGCATGGGGTTCAACTCAGGTAGCTACTGGCTGTGAGCTAGGAATGTAATC